TATATATATATATATATATATATATATATATATATATATATATATATATATATATATATATATATACTTGCTAAAATTGATTTCATAACACTTCAGTTTCACAGACTTTTGCATTATGCATAAGAAAATGATAGTCCTACATTTCCTACATTTGCAATCATAGTCCTATATTTCTACCCCACAAAAAAATAAAGGACTTTTTTTGTTTCATTTCATTATACGTTACGCAAAATAGTTTGACGTTAGTTTGTTTTATGATATTTATTTTATTTGCATAATTTGCTGCGAACAATATATTCTATAATCACAGTAATTCATTAATGATTAAATACTGGCTAAATAATTACTCAAGTATCGCAGCATTTAATCATTGCAAATCTTTAGTAATTCTTAAATTTCTGTAAGGGACAAAGTAAAGTAACATTTTCAAAAGAATGTGCTCGATGAATTGAACTTTCGATAGATAAAAGATGCGTACAAGATATGTACGAGCAAAGTGAATAGAGTGAGTCAAATAATAACAAATTAAGTTGAATGATTATAAGTTACGAAACTAGTAAAAAAACGATATATCGAAAATTGATACACTGTCCTTGTCTTAATTGGTAGTACGACGAAGCATTTCGACAGCATAGTTTTTAGTAGTCGTACGGGAGCCGATAAATTAACGTCGCACAATGAAGCAAGCGATTGTATTTGCGCTCTTTTGCATCGTGTTGTGCTATTGTTACGAGTTATGTATAACGAAGGTAAGTGCCACTATCCTCAATAAACTATTCTGACTCATCACAACATTTTTGTACAAACTAATCAATCAGCTAACTTTTGTATAAATTAATTTTGTATACCTGTTTGTTTCATATGCCTCGTAGTTTCGCTGTGTTCGCTATTCTTAGTTACAACAAACACATTTTATGTGAAGGTGAGCATGTTTTAATGCGGAATACCCTAAGTTTTTGCGTATCGATATATTTAGTTTTGCTTCAATTTCTCATCTAGATATTTGAGTATACAGTTATTAACAAAATATTTACAGTTATTAACAAATATATATATATATATATATATATATATATATATATATATCTTGTACAAAAAATATTTTTTCAGAATTGAATTTTTTGGATTATCTCTTATTTAAACAAAAAAGCAACATTCTAATTGGCATACTAATTAATATTAATTTGATTTCAATTAATGTTCTCTTTTCGTTTTTAATCAATATTTTAATAAATACTATTTTCCCAGAATTTAATTATTTGGATTACTTTTTATTTAAAGGATGAACGTTCTAATTACTTTTTTACTAATCGGCGTATTAATTAATATTAATTTGATTTGAATTAATGTTCTTTTCCGTTTTTAATAAATATTTTGATAAATAATATTCTGCCAGAATTTAATTATTTGGATTACCTTTTATTTAAAGGAAAAAGCAGCATTCTAATTACTTGTCTACTAATTGGCGTACTAATTAATATTAATTTGATTTTAATATTCTTTCCGTTTTTAATAAATATTGTTATTGTTTAATAAATACTGATATTCTTTTTAATTTTTTTCTGGGAGTCCAGAATTCTCCGTTTCTCTGCAAGAGCAAGTACTTAAACTGTTCTATTGTAAGAGCGCATTTAAACCTTGGCAAAACACCTTGGTGGTCAGATGGTAATCGACTAGTTTTTGCTTTTCTACTAGCGCGAGTTCTGACTTTTCTGATTTTCTACTTTTTGCTTTTCTATCAAGATATGAATGCGCCTTAATATTTATAATACAATTAGAGATTTTTATACAATTGGGATATATTTTTTTACCTTTGTAAGGTATTTTGTTAGGTTTATATCTTCGTTGAACACTAAAATAATCAACGAAAATCAGTATAATAATATATACTGCATTTCGAAAGTGAAGCCAAAACTTCAATTTCTCAAGTCATATCTAAAATTAGCCCTGGTAAAAAAAGTTTATAGAGAATAGAACGATAGAATAAAATTCTATCGTTCTATCGTTTTCTATCGTTCTGAATATGGATTTTGGTTCGTGAATTCACAAATGTGAATAGTATTCTATCGTATACAATAGAATACAATAGATAGTGATAGAATTTCTATCGTCAGTTTCCTATATAATACAAATAAAACCCGATTCTTATAGAACTAGATAAAATACGATAGGATTTATATCTGATGTTCGCGAAGGCTGATGCTTACGAACGATAGAGTTTATAGAAAACAATACAAATTGATAGAAAGTCTATCGTTCTCAATCGTTCTCTATCAACTTTTTTTTACCAAGGAGATCTTCACAGGATATTCCTCAAGTCATATCTACACAGATCTCCATAGGACATTCTCTAAAAATGTTTTGAGAACGTCCCTACGTCCCTACGTCCTCAGGATATTCCTTGAAGATTTTATGTTAACTGGAATGTGCAAGTAACACCGTAGACTATTTTATCAAATTAAAGATGGCGTTCTTGTAATATTTAAATATTGTATCGTACATTTTTGTATATTTCTTATTGAGGAGAAACGTGTTGCGGTTATAAATGACATGTCTGACAATCTTACATGTAATTAAGATAGTTACCAGTTACGGTGATAAAACGTGATAACGTGCATATGACGCGCATTATCAGTATCCTTGACAATAGCAACTGCAATATATCTAAGTAGAAAAAATATCTCACTTGTTTAAAAAATTTCTTTATGAGAAATTGTGCATTAATCCGATTTATCGAGTCTCATAATCTTATCGTAGTCGCCCGTGTTTAAATTCGTCTATTGTTAAATGTTATTTAACAAAACTTTTTATTATTTTTGTAAGATAGTGAATTTGTCGTAAAAATTAATTGGTCTGTTATTAATTATAAAAATTAATCAAATATTAATCAAAATCAATTAAATAAAAAGTATGACAAAAAATTAATAATATACGATATATTATTAAAAATGAATATAGTAATATTACTTCATTGATATTATTAGTAGGAGACTAACTAGTAGTAGTTAAAGTTTATATAATTAATTAAGATTGATAATTGAAGTTACCTGAGAAAGAAACGATCATTGTACGTTTACAACGAAAATAATATGTTATTCAAATATTTGGCAGTATATATGATGTCGACGTTTAAGCGAATGAAATTATTCCTTTCCTTATATAACTTCATTTTTTCATTTAACATTATTTCTTTCCGCGTAGACATATATAATTATAGTACATATGATTATATATGGACAAAATTCATATATAATCTATATATAATCATATATAATTTTTTTATATGATTATGTATAATTAATGTAAATAATGTAAAATTCATATATAATTTATATATAATCATATATATAATTTCTTTATATGATTATGTATTTATATTATTGTATATATATAATATAATTTTATATAATTATTCGTAATCTTTTTTCTCGAAAATGACACAGTTTAAGGATAATTCCCCCCTTCTCCTACCTATACGCGTGTTTATTAATTATTTATTTGATACTGAGTATTAATATGTGTGTGTATGTGTATGTGCATAATATATTGAATTAATTAATATTATATTTTTTTCGTTATTCCAGATAAGCCATTGTGTAACGTCGTAGATGTTTCGATTTCGAATTGTAAAAATAAGAAAATATGCTTTTTAAAACGTAACACTTACGTGACTTTATCCATGAAATATATACCGTGTAAATATTCGAAAGGTCAAAATTTACTTATTACAAATCAAATTCGATATATAGTTTGTTATAATATACTAGCAGAGAAATTAAAGCATCATCTATCGATAATATATCGAGTTGAATAAAAACGCGTACAATCGAAATTTCTTGGAGTCAAATTTCACTCGAAAAGTAAAGTGACAAAGAACCGCTCGAATTTTCATTCTTATAAGATGAATTCTCTGCTCTAATTCGTTGAATGAATATTTTTACTCGAAATTTTAAGGTGAATAAAATGCATTCCACCGTCAGAGCAATATATTCACTCCAATCGATTGAAACATTCGCTTATATCATACAGTCATAATACATTTTAATTTTGAATGAAATGTTCATTCAAAGTCTTGAGTAAAATATTCATTTCACGGTTTCGAGTGACAGTATTTTTATTAATTTGCTCACACATGTTATATTTAAAAAAATATATATAAGAGAGAGAGTGAATATTTTCTCTACAGACATTAACGTCAGGTGAATTTGTATGTGTATGGTACAATATTCAATATTGTTGATATACCTTTTCTCATGAATAAACCGGATGTCTGCAAGGATCCTGATAGCGGAGTGTGTTGTCCTTTGAAAAAGGATCAGGAGTACAATTACACGACCTCGACGTTCGTAGAAAAGACGTTTCCCAAAGTGAGCGTTCGCATTTGTTATTGATTTTTCAAAGTAAATTTCTATAAAACTGACTAATGATCTTCTTTATCTTTCGCAGATAAGCGTGCAGATTAAATTAAAGCTTGTGGACGCGAATTGATAAGTTATAGTGTGTATATATTTTCCAGCCAAAATTGTGTAATGTTAATTGATATTTCTATTGATCCAATATAAAGGATCGCGAGAGAAACTAATTTAACTTTTCCATAAAAGTTTAATATTTTTAGTTAAAACTCCTTAAGTTATTTTTTGATAAATCGAAACGTATAATAAAATTGATTTAAAATATCTATACTGTGTAATATGCGTGCGCGCATGTATTTGATTTACACTTGATTTCAGCAATATTTTATTCTCGATACTTATTCTCGCAACGCAGCTGATATTTAATAAGAAAACTTGTTTTCGAATAATTTGTGGGAGATAAATTCTCTCATTGAGTACTGACTACGTTTCGAATACTGTACTGAAAAAAGTATATATTTCAATGATATTGAAACCGTTTCTATGTGTGCGACTATATGTACGCGATATTTCGCAAATGTAAAAATTCAAACATAGAACTCTGTCGTGGATTGAGATGCATTAAAGTATAAGCAGGGGATGGCGGAACGAAAGAGAGGCTTGAAAAATATCGTTTATATTCTTTTCTTACAAGAGTAACGTCTCGTAACAACAGCCGTAAATAACTTAGAATCTTAATAAATAAATAAATAGAAAATACAGTATCTAGAAAGGTAATCCGACTTTTAGGTTAAGAATTAGTTTCCAGGCTCCTGTTTTGCCACCACGAATATCTTGATTAATGATGCCGGTGGCGAGAAGATATAAGTTCGAAATTCTTGTCAAATATGTTAAAATAAAAAAATATGTTCATATAAAATTTGTAGTGGGTGAATAGATCTGTAAAATATTCTAAAAACTTTCCCTTTGCATTAAGGCTCCTGACTCCTCGCATTGTCTATCTCTTTTTAATGACGTCAGAAGCGAGAACATGTATGCTAAAAATTCTTGCGAAATATATTAAAATAAAAATATATATCCATAAAGTAACATTTGCAATCGATTAAACAAATTTGTAAGATATTCCGTGCACTCCCCTTTTGCTCTAATAATCAATAATTTATCCTTAAATTAATCTGAATAGAAATAGGCGAAGAAATAGGTTAAGAAGATGAATTGTATGTCACGTTAATTTACGACAAATTATTGATTGTTAGAGCAAAAGGGGAATGCACGGAATCTTACAAATTTGTTTAATCGATTGCAAGTGCTACTTTATGGATATATATTTTTATTTCAACGTATTTCGTAAGAATTTTTAGCATGCATTTTCTCGCTTCTGACGTCATTAAAAAGAGATAGACAATGCGAGGGGCCAGGAGCCTTAATGATTAACAAATAACTGTAAAATTAGCAGCACTATGTAGTTAAGGGGATGCCAAAATGGATGACGAACTCTGATGAAAAAATCGCATCTAGATGCGACTAAAAATGCCGACAACGTTATGATCTATTACATTATCATAGCTGACATTATCGATTTTATATGTACATATACATTTACGGAATAAAAACAATTGTTAAAAAGCATTTTTAGATAAATGCTAACATGATTATGTTATCAAATGTGACAGAGAGAAACGATAAAAAAAAAAAAAAAATATATATATATATATATTTATATATGTCTAGACAATCATTTAGCCACTTATAATTTTCTTACTTTCTCTGTGTAAAAGCATTTACAATTCGATGCAACCAATACGACGTATAAATTTTGCGGGAAAAGGGCAGTACTTCGCCAGCAAAGCTTTCGAGTGTAGCATCCCCTTAAAAGGCCACACGTGACAAAATCATATTTTTGTTTCAACATACTTTGCAAGAATTTTCTATTTTCTTGCTTCTGACGTTATTAATTGAATAATCGTGGCGAGGAATCAAAAAAGTCTTAAGCCAGAGCTGTCTACAATGTGCGTTTGTTAGTGACTACCTCGTTCAGTATTTATTTCTTCTGAATGAAAAAAAAAGTAGAATGAAATTGTTGATTCATTAATCTTCTTGAGTTTTAGTAAACATAATTTAATCGAGTCGAGGAATTAGATAAATTGTGAAAACAAATTAATGAAATTATATATATATGCAATTTTTATCAATTGACAAATTTTCAAAAATTGACAAATGTTTAATTTGAGGTTACTACTTCGAGAAATGAAGAAAAAATAATCGTTCTTTTGGTTTAGACAGCTCCGGTGTGAGAAGAGCCGAGTATTAACGACAATAACTTATCTCTAGCCGCGTATGTAGTCAGTCTAATTGGTTGAATCGTACAGTTAGTGTCGATTTCGTTAGTAATTGTCGTTAAACGTTATAGACTAAAATCTCATTGAATACGTCCGGTGTTCAATATATCGGTGTTCGTTCGGTGCTATTTCGTTTCTTCGCTGAAGACACTAACACACGTATCTCGGTAACTTTGGCGTCCCTTCTCCGTCGATTGTTCCATCACTATCAACTGTCCGTCATCGTCTCGTCGATTTGATGAATTGTCCTCTTGCTACGCTCCCTGACGTAACTCTGTTGGCCGTTTCTCAGCGTTTTTTGCGCCTGATATATCGGCTCGTACTCCCTCAGTTGTGTCATGAAGCCCTCGTTAGGGTTTATGCAGAATCGCCTCTGCTGCACTATCGCGTACGCCTGTCTAAAGAGCATCATTGTCGGTCACACACACTGATTTGTTGCAGAAGTCGTGCAAAATGAAGTTCCAGTAGAACCGCGCGCTGCTTTACACCGGAAGAACTTACGTCTGTGAAAGCCCATACGTTTCCATCATATATGCCAAAACTAGTGCAGCGGACCTTGAGATGCCGGCATTACCGTGTACGAGAACTTGACCACCAGAGTTCAGTCCTTCGTCAATGAACGTCTTAACGTTTTGGAAGTGCTGTATGATATTTTCCGTCGCGGTGTCGGCGATATTCAGTACTAGATATCTATCGAGTAAATATTTAGGATGAGCCATTAGGATAAGATAGAGAGGAATTTAAGAGTAAGATAAACCTATATACATAATTGAGGAGAGAGTAACGCAGGAAGTGTTACAACGAATCGATTTATTACTAGCATTATTGTCTTTTGATCGCATACTTGAATTTATCAGGAAAGTTGGGCCTGATAAAGTTCGCCTCTATGTCTTGCCTGACGCAGACTATATGTGTTATTCCGTGTTCTAGCAGACTGTCCAGTTTGGAACGACTGGCGGCGCTGTACGGGCCAAGGAATAAGCCAGGTACCACTTCCTGCGTGATGAACATAATTATATTACGATTAATGGTGGATTCTTTGCTCGTAGAAGCAATCAGCTCTGCTGGAATATATTTTTACTTTTAGCCGTTACCTGCATTTGCCTTCTCATCGTGTATGTCCATTCTTTAGGCCCGTGTATTGAGGATGCAGGTAATTCTGGATAATCCTGATCAGCTCCTGATTCTCTGGTGTTTTCCTGCAATGTCAACAGATATATCAGACTGTTGTCATTTTTATATCACTGGATTGAGATCATTCATTGGACTCTAAAGATGGTTGCGTTTGTTTTGGCGCTTATAGCGCGTGTAAGCATCATTTGTCCTTGTTTAGTGTTTGATAGAAACAAGAATGAAATGATGCTCAGAGCGTTGTAACCGCCAAAACGAACGTAGCCGATATTGAATCCTTTTAGCCAGCTTTCAATATATTTAAATTTATGTCAAAATTTCACACAATTTAAATAAGTATAACACCGCGAAAAATTATCGTATTTGAAATCTTTTTCTTATTTTCAAAAGTCTGTACTTTAAGAAGCATTTGCTAGATTTTGAATTTATCCTCTACCCTTCCCGCCGTTTTTTCAAAAGTAAGGACATGTCGCGTCTCCAAAAAATTGTACAATTTGACGTATTCTACGAGGTAAAATGGATTCTTTTCGCTAATTTCACGATAACCATCGTAAAGCATAGACTTTTCTCTAGAATTAAAAAAAAGAAGACTTGTACGATTTTTTTCGCGTAACAAAGTTACCTATACATTTTTGTTAAATCGCTTAATTTGATACACTTTATTGAGTGGAATGAATTCTTTTAAATCTTATGATGACTATCGTGAAATATTGAAGTTTTTTTGCAAATTAAAAAAAAAGATTTGGACTTTCATGGGATCATAACGTATTAAAATTATCTATACATTTTTTATCAGTTCAATATTAGCATTACTTGACGTAAACTTATTTTAATTTGCAAAAAAAATGTCGATACTTTACGACGATTATCATAAGATTTGCAGAAAAATTCCGTAGAGTGCGTCAAATCTCTAATAGAGCACAGATGTCTAGAGGACATCCACAGTATGTCCTGAAGAAGTCCTGAGGACATTTCTTCGTCCTCATGAGATCTTATGCTGTCTGAGATAATACTGTAAATTATTGTAAATTAATATTATAAATTCCCGCTGTACACAATTGTTATACTAAAATGATTGTATCTTTTAAAAAGAATGTTTTATAAGCGAAACATGAGACTTTGCGACGAGATTTGTGGTTCGAAAAATCAGGGCTCAATCGAGTTGACGGAGGTCGTTATCCGCGGAGGAAAATCGTGATGCACCTAACCTCAATTCAATCCTAAAGCAACACAACATAACCTTAAATCAGTCATGTTAAATTCGACACGATAACAAATTATACGTGCATACTTCGTTGCCGTGGGTGCTCTCATTATCTACCGACAGCATCACCAGCGATATTTCGGTCGTCGGGAGCCGAGAACTCACGGGAGAGCACAAGGACACAGGAGCGTTTTTTTCTCCGCACCCTCGCTCCCGCTGTTCTCTCTTCAATCAGGATATCCGTCCTCGTCTGGCCTACGGTGCCGTAGCTTCGCTCACCTCCCCGTCTCTTTTGACTCCAGATTGACCCCGTTTTTTATTTTCTCCCGGTATTCGAGGTAAATTTTATGAGCGAACTCGACGTTACCGTAACCCTACGAGTGTCATTCGCGCTGCACACTGGACCGATTGTCGCGCGCTCTGTCGATGACAGCGGCAGTGAATGCCAATAGATTTGTTCGCCTTGCTTGCACTTTGAGAGCCAACGTACAAGCATATCCGTAACATGATACGTTATGTTAAGTACTGACAAACAATGACCATACTTATTATGTAAACTTAAACTTAAGTCAACAAAGAAATCCGTAAACTTAACATGTTACGGATGTTCTTGTGCGGAGGCTCTGAGAGTGCAAATCCATGCAGCGGAATAGCGGAGCGCGGAACGAGAGCGGAACCAATCACGAGCGTTCCGCGTTTTTCAGCAATTTTAGCGGAGTCTGCGGAATAGTTTTGTCGCAGACTGCGTAATATATGCATACTTCTATCATACAATAGACGTAGACCCATGTAACCTCAAATTAAGAAGAACAAACAATCCAGCTGGCCAAATGTATTAATATTCAGCACAACATAACCGCTATGCCATGAATTTAACAATGGATGCATAATATATATATACAAATATGTCATTTTTAAAATTGAAACAGGAGCTCTTAAGTCCCCATGGAGCGGAATAAGCATATCGCGGATTTTGCTCAACCAATCGCGAGTCATAATTTCAAAAAGTTATAACTGCCTTAAAACTTATTTTATAGATTTTAACATTTTCAGTAAATATTTCCAATACAAAACACATTTAATTAAATATTTATGTACATAATAATAAAAATGAGTAATAAAACATTAATTTAAAAGTCATTTTAGTTACGTGCTACTCATTCCGCTCCATGGGTACTTAGGGATTGAAAATCCGTGCAATGAAAACTGTGGAACGCTCGTGATTGGTTCCGCTCTCGTTCCGCGCTCCACTATTCCGCTGCATGGGTTCGCACCCTTAAGGCCCAGGACCCATATTCTTGAAATTTTTGCGTATACATAATTTTCATTGCGCAGCTATTTTATGGTATGATTAAACCTGCGCAGTAAAACTTACGTATACGCAACTATTTCAAGAATAAATGCCCAGTTCCACAACCTCCGTTTAATTTTAACTACCGGTTAAATCTCAACAGTGATTGATTAATTCTGATTAACGCTAAATGCGATTAGTCAAGTCCAATGGAATAACCAGTCAGTTAACTAGAAGTTGTGGATCTGGGCCTTAGGCCCACAACTTCTGTTTAACTTTAGCTATAAGTTAAGTCTTAATAAGGATTAGTTAATTCTGATTAACTCTTCTTAACGCTAAATGCGATTGGTCAAGTCCAATGGAATAACCGGTCAGTTAACTGGAGGAACTAAGCTTGATCGATGTTGATGAAATCGAACCGTATTACGTTGGCTGCGTTCGTTTTGGCACTTATAGCTCATGTAAGCATCATTTGTCCTTGTATTTGATAGAAACAAGGATGAAATGATGCTCAGAACGTTGTAAGCGCCAAAACGAACGCAGCTGTTGTATTAACAATCAACCTCAAGGTGTGGCACTGGTGGACACGGTTGAGTAGAGACCCTTGAGTAGAGACTGGACATAACGGGGTTTCGCGTGATTGGTGCACGTGACTTTTGCTCACAAAAAGGCAGCGCCAATATAAGTAGAGTGAGAAAAAATATTCTCATCTCACTCTACTTATTGCACTCGTGCAGCAGTGCAGCGAAAAAGTACAGATCACGTACTTCTTACGAGCTTACGTGTTGGCGGCCGCCATTTTGTGGGCGCTTTGTCTGTTTCTCTTGGCTATGTTCAGAAATCCTACTCGATGAGTAGAGTTACTTTAATAAACCATCATAATAAATAAATCTTAAGCCCGTATCAGACTAGCGATTAGCGATTGATGATTGACGATTGAAGATTAGATTTTGACGAATCAACGAGCTTCAACCTTGGCTTGCTTTGTTCCAATTGGTCAAGTTCCAATTTTCAATCGTAATCATCAATCGCTCTGATACGGGCTTTAGTTCCTTTTCCCTGATTGGCTAATTAAATGTTACTCTACTCACCGAGTAAGGTTTCTGAACGCAGCCTTGAAGGTATCTACGGTTGAGTAGACCCTTGAATATAGACTGGACATAACTGGGCTCCGCGTGAATGATGCACGTGAATTTTGCTCACTAAATGGCAGCACCAACATAAGTTAGAGTGAGAAAATTTGAAAAAATATATTCGTCTCACTCTACTTATTGCACTAGTGCAGCGAAAAAGTACAGACCACGCACTTCTTACGAGCTCACGTATTGGCTGCCGCCATTTTGTGGACGCTTTGTCCAGTCTCTTTTGAAGGGTCTCTACGGTCGAGTAGCGTTTCACACGCATTTTCTATGGTCGAGGGACGGTGAATGGACACGGCCGGTCCTCTATACTAGTCCGCGAACAGTGGTCCAATCGCAGCACTTGACGATCTGTCGTGGATCATTTCTCTGTCGCGCGCGTTGCAGTGTTACTCCGTGTCCTCCGCAGCGAATCCTCGGCGTCGTATCTCGTCCGGCCAGCTACCCTCGCCAGCGTTCCTCCTTATCGTCCGTCCGCGCTGTGCCCTTCGCGATCGGCCACGCGAGGATATGTGATCGCGAGTCCGCTGCCGAGCGCCGCCATCTTTGTCATTGTGTTCGTTAGAACAGTCTCGGGGAAGGTTCCGATGCTCGTCGGTGACGCATCGCGTCGGCTTCGTCGTAGCTTCGTCGCGTGAGTCCCCGCCGTCGCGATACCGTCGGTCTCCGGGCGTCGCCGGTCGAGGTCGAAGCTCGCTTCTCTCCCACGCGTCCCCGGCGTCACCGCGGATCTGCGAGTACCGGTTTCCTCGTACCCGGCTACGTCGTCCTGCGTACACCGGCGCGGGGCCTTCTTCGTGGGCACGTCCTGCGACGTAGACAGCATCCCCGTGGTCGTGCCTTCGCCGCTGCGATGCAACACTGAGCGTCGCCGTGGCAGCTTTGTATGGACTGTTCGCAAGAGTGAGTAGAGACCCTCTTTCTCTCGGCAGACCGTTGTTTCTCATGATTCGCTTTTCACAACCACCTGGACCATGCTGCCAGAATGTATATTCGCGATCCCCGATACAAGGCGGTTTTATACGACAGAGTTCGTCGCGGCGACGACGCGAAATCGCGCGATTTTGTTCGGCTCAGGAACTTGTATTATGACTCTCTGATGTAGGCATGACTGAAAAGAAATACTTGAAAATTCGTTCGTGAGTGTAAGCTTATATTTTATAAAAATAAACTAATACAGAAATGAACTTTATTTTATAGAGATAAACTTTATATCCCACAAATAAATTTTCAGATATTTTCTCTCAGTGGAAGAACTTTTCGGTCGCGCAGCTTGACAGCTGCGATTAATCACTTCCTCGACCTTATTGTTCTTCCGTAATGAATGATTAATCGCAACCGTCAACTTATGTGGCTTTATTGGCGAGAGTTGCTTACTGAGTCGTTAGGATCATTTTCACATGCCTTAGAGCCGCGAAAATGAGCCTTACGTCGTTCGCCGAGCGTTTCCCAACGCGAGACTTCGTCATCGGTGATTCGCTCGATTCCGCCTTTCCGCGATCAGGTTTCGAGACGCACGTGCGTCGCATCGCCGCACCTGCTTCGGGCAGGCAGGTGTAACCGGAAGTACGATCGACTCCACGCGGAAACATAACGGCACTCGGCCACCGTAACGCGATGGGCTTCACGTCTTTATTGTTTTCGGCTGTCTTTAAATGTCATTCTTCTCCTTCCCCCTCCTTTCCGTGGAATCGAGCTGTACGCCGACGTACAGCCCGATAACGCCGATAAACGATAGCCGATTTGTATCGCGTCCATCGCACGATCGAGAACGCGTCGAGTAAATACAGTAATCCGCCGCAATAATGAAGTACAGTCTGTAAATTTCAATGTGATCGTTTTCGAAGGAGAGAGAGGGACAGGGAGGAAAGGGAGATCATATGAAAGAGCGAGCGAACGATTCGATTTAGAAAGTCACGAATGCGCACGAATCGTTTTGCCGATTAACAACAACAACGACGACGACGACGACGCTACGAATGTTAATTAGAGCTGTCGAGGCGACGCGTGGTCTTGTACAAATATAGAGAGAGGTTCATCGCGCAGTCATTTCCAAAGGGATCGACACACCTGCGCGGACTGTCATTAACGCGCCCTTATAGATTAAGAAATTCTTCTAAGTTCGAGTTTCATTCTCTAAATTTCTTCGAGTGAAATTCTACTCTAAAAGTAGAGTGACAGTCGACTCACTTGAAGTTGAATGATTTCTTATTCATCTAGAATGAATTGCTCCACTCTGAGTCAGTTTTTATTTGAAATTGAAGAATGAATATGATCTTATTCGCCACAAAAACAAAGTTCGAGTTTCGTTCTCTAAATTTCTTCAAGTGAAATTCGGCTCGAAGAATAGAATGGCAGTCGACTCATATGAAGTTGAATGGTTTTTTAATTATCTAGAATAAATTCCTTCACTTTGAATCATTGAGTGAATGTCTTTATTTGAAATTGAAGAAAGGATGTGATTTTATTCATTCGTCACATGAACAAATTCATCCTAATTGATTGAAACATTTATTCATATGGATTAAGAATTTATTTTAAGTTCGAGTTTCACTTTCTAAATTTTTTAAAGTGAAACTCGGCTTGAAAAATAGAGTAAGAGTTGACTCACGTGAAGTTGAATGGCTTCTTATTTATCTAGAATGAATTCCTTCACTTTGAATCATTGAGTGAATGTTTCTATTCGAAATTGAAGAATGGATATGATTTTATTTATCCATCATATGAACAAATTCATCCTAATTGATTGAAACATTTACTCACATGGATTGAGAATTTATTTCAAGTTCGAGTTTCACTCTCTAAATTTTTTTAAGTTAAAGTTTTCCACTTGAAAAGTAGAATAATAGTCGAATCACTTGAAATTGAGTGGCTTTTTATTCATCTGAATTTTTTCATTTTGAAATTGAAGAATAATTGTGATTTTATCATTTATGTCGTCATTAGAACACATTCATATTCTAAAGGATTGAAATTATTCGTATGAACTAAAAATAAATACTCTAGACG